CTCCTTCCAGTTTTCATACCAGCAGTAAATTAAGCGTTATTGACTTTAATATTCTCTGGTACATTTCTTTTTCTATCATTTTCTCAGGAATGGAACTCTTGAGGCTGGAGCAGGAAGGCTTTTTGACCCTGTTTGAAGTGCGTTCGTTGCATTGACTTGGGCAGTAATCCCCTTGTGTTTCTGTGGCCTGTAGGTGACTGAGGAGACAAGCCTGATCCTGCAGACGCTTGGCTACACATGTACATGTCGAGGTATCATCAATGTGAAGGGGAAAGGGGACCTGAAGACGTACTTTGTAAACACTGAGATGTCAAGGTCCCTTTCTCAAAGCAACTTGGCATCCTGAAAAGCCGCCTCTTCCTGACAAGAAGAGTGTACTTGCAGGAAGCTACCACGCACTTTCTGACTGCAGCCCTTGCCCTTCGTCTCGATGTACGTGCTCTGTCCCATCCTCTGGAGCCCTTTGCAGACTAGTTCCTGTGACCCAGTGGCATACTGTTTGGTGTCTGTGTGTGCCCAGATTGTCCTGCCACTTGCACTGTGCTTGCTCCTAAGCAGAAGGAGAAGGAACCGTTTCCTGGAAGGAGAGCACTGAAGGAAGTGATGGAGGAAGTGGTGAAGTGAACACACATTCTTAAGGCAATAAAACTGGGGGGTGTATATTATCTTCTGGTGCATGTTCTTCTCTGGAAAATACGGTAGCTCGTAACTGCATCCCTAGTCTGATATTCAAACACACAGTATTTGTGAATAAGCTGATCCTGTCACCCAACATGGAGTCTGTGCTCACCCACCCATGTGTCTCATCGCCAGTGATCGTCCATGGGCCTCAGCTGAGACTCAAGGCTTTTGTCACCTTGCTGTCTTGTCTTGTGACAGCGGCACGCTGCCATCCATCACCAGAATTAGTCCTCACAGCCTAGGACCAGTTTTGTACCAAACTCGTCTGATGTTTTGATGCCATTTGTCTTTTGTAAGGTTAATTCATTAAAAGTTTTATGTACTTTGGTTTATAGTGCCCGAATCTTTTCTTTTCCTTTTTTTTTTCTTTTTTCTTTTTCCTCCTGTGGTTTAGTCCAGAATGAAAATGTGTTTTCCGTCTCCCTTTTCAGAGACAGCCTAGAAGCTGGAACTGAGATAGACTCTTGGATAATGGAGATTGTGTCAAAGTCTGCGATGCAGTAAATTATGGTGTGGTTTTACGGGAGGAGAGAGTCTGTGCTCAGTGTATCTGATGGTCTGGTCTTAATTTTGCTTTCTTTCAAGAACAATTTAAACGGTACAAAGCCAGCCGGAGCCTCAGAGCCCTTTCTGCCTACTGACACCTCTTGTAGGGCTTTACCTTGCCATAGCTTGCAGATGCAGACAACATAAGTACCTGGAACTAGCCATGTACATCAGGTGCCACAGTAGCCTGGACTGGTAAGCTTGCAGGCTTACCAGTGGTGTCTGAGGAGGCTTAAAGAAGACATAGACCCAGAGTCTGTGCTGCAAATCCAACTCTAAAGTTGCTTGAGTTTGTTTTTTCTGTTTTCTAACATAAAGAAATTACACTTTGCCAAATGATTAAAAAAAAAGAGAGTAAATGTTCATTTTTTAAAAAGATTAAAACAAACAAAAAAAAATGTAAACAACAGGCTGGTTTCCTTTTTTAGTTCAGGGCAGGCATCTGTAGGAGGCAGAGGATCCAGAGAGACTACTAGGAAACACTTGATTAGTGTACACCCAGACGTGAAGCACAAGTTTCCGGCCTGACTCCTGGCTCTGATTTTACTAGCTACAGGCCTTAATTCCTCTTAGGAGTATTTTCTTCCATGCGAGCTCATGGGATCCAGTTGTGATTAAATGAGCTAATGACTGGGAGCTTGGCAGTAGGCAGCGTGCTCCCACCAGCGTGCTCCCGCCAGTGTGCTCCCGCCAGCGTGCTCCCACCAGCGTGAATGGCACCCACACCACTGTCATACCAAGACTCAGGACTGCCCTTCACCACCCGAGTGTGACAATTTTCTGCCTCAATCAGGCATTTTTGGATCCTGTAATAATGTCAGATCTCTGAGTGGCAACTGAAGGGAGAGAGATGGTGATGTGGCATTCCTCTTCCCTCCGAGCAAAATCTAGGCTAGCATGCTGGATGTTCCAGTGGGTTCAGCCATCAGCAGAAGTATCCATTGTGTCTCTCCTCCTTGGCATCACATATTCCAGGTGCTTCTAGGCCACCATGCCCCAGTCAATCCCCAGTTGAGCAATGTGTCAAGTTTTCTCACAGTCCACCATAGCAAGACCCTGGACTGGGCATTGTGGATAAAAGAACTTAGAAGGATAGAAGCCAGAGCTAAATTACCTGTCTAAAGGATCAGTAAAAATTTGACAGCAGCCAAGGTCCTTGTCAGCATGTACCTTACACAGCTCTGGGATCAACCCAGCCTCTCTGGGTGTGGTCTCAGCCAACATATTCTCAACCCAGACCTTAACCACTGAGGAAGAAAGGTGGCCTAGGCCACATTTACAAATTCCCAAAGGGATTTCCTTCCTTGTGTTATGTTTTAAAAATTCCCAAGTGATTCAGATCACCTTCCCAATTTGAGACTCCCTCCCCTTCAATTTATAAATGAGACAGGTGTGGAGACATCCAGCCTACTGTTCCTAGTCTAGTGGTTGCTCTGTGGCCAAGCACTGCTAAGTAGGGAAGGTGCCTGTTTATCATTAGAAGCATGCAAATCAGAGGAGTCCTGGAGCTGGCCCCTCACACGCACCCGTCACCTTTTAGCATTACTGGAAGCCTCTCCTGAAAAAAACGTAGGTCCAGTTCCCTAACTCCCATGCTTTAATGTCACTGTTTGCAACTGGCTGAAGTGTGCTGTCAATCAGACCTCCAGGGTCCTCCGTACCTCCTTACTGAGCTTCGGAAGCCAGCGGCCATCAGATCTCTGCCTTCCTTTGCTTCTTCATCAGCATGCATCTGCAGGAACCGACACCAGACAGCAGTGGGGATTTGATAAGTGGGCACACATTCTGTTTACGCAGGAATGTACTCTCTGAGCTGGAGACAAGGCTCAGCGCTTGACACTGCACACTGATGCTGCAGGGACCTCAAGTTCACGTTCCGGCAGCCGTGTGACCGTGGTGCTCACAGCCGCCATAACTCCAGCTTCACGAGATCTGACATTCTCCTCTGACTTCACCAGGCACCAGCGGCCGTGCACACACCCACACAAAGACATACGCACATACACGTAAGTTAAAATAGATCTTAACAAAAAAAAAGTAATATCCCCTTAAGATGTCTCTAACTGGTATTCATTAATTGGCTGTAAGTGTGGAAAAGCCAACAGAGCTCCATTTAATTTTCCTTTACTAGCTACTAAATGTGAAACCTTGATTGATCCTACCCCTTTGTAAAAGCAAGCAGCAGCATTCTGGGTGGGGTTGTGCACACTTTCTACCTCAGCGCTTAAGAGAAGGAGGCAGGGGAAGAGTCTCCGGGCCAGCCTCAGCTACACCGTGAGTTTGAGGATAACCTGAGCTGTACAAGACCCTGTGTCCAATCCCTCCACCCCACCACACATACAAAGGATAAAGAAAAAGAAAGAGAAATAAACAGTAGGTTAAGGGTATAGGATTCACCCTGAAGTAATGAAAATAACTTAGTTTGAAATGAATTTATTTAATCTACTTAGAGTTTTTAGTTATAAGAATAAATAAATGAGTAACGCTTAAAAGAGATTTCTATGGCCCAGATTTTTTGCATGTTTTTATATTATTACAAGTATGGTTTAATGTACCCAAGAGCACCTCACATATACTATTGTCATTTATTTGGGAAGAAAAGAGCAACAACACTGAAAAATTCAGAATATAAATATTTAGGGATTACTCATCCTTGAAACGGCCAGCAATTCTGGACCATGTGTCCTTAGAGAACCATACTTGCAGATTCAAAACAATAAAACCAGTGGTTGAGCACCAAAATGAATTATACCTGCCCAATAACTGCTCAGCTCTGGGAAATTCAATCGCTGTAGATGAGGGGTGCTTTCTTCCAAAAGATACATTCATTAAAAATATATCTTAGTGCCTGAGTGTGTGTCAGATCGTCTTGCAAAATAAATACTTCCAACCTAGGTTAAAAATCAGCTGCTTCCAGAAGAGGAGACTTCTGTCCAAAGTGAAGGCCATGAGCTGGAGATGGATCTCAGGGGCATAGTGTGCAAAGCCCTGGGTTCAAGTGTGAAGGATAAGGAGGGTACAAACAGCTTCAGTGCTCGGGACTGTGAGCCCTTCGTGTGGCTGTGCTCTGGTAGTATTCCGAATAGCATGAAAACATGTCAAAGTTTAGAAAATTCGCCTAAAGATACAAAACATCATATCATGGGAAGAAAATGCAGCAGGCAGACTTTTCCCAGAGCCCAGCCTGTGCGCCCTGCACCTGTAACAGATTCTCCCTGGTGGAGTGACAGATGTACAGGGGCTTTTATGCTCCATTGTGCAGAATTCAGTTTATCTGTGACCTCGAGGAAACAAAATGTCCTGTCTAGAATTCAGTCATGTCTAGGGCCGTTTTTGTTCCTCTCAGACAAACAGAAAAGGGTTCTTCGCTTCGTGGGCAGGGACGTTTTCCTAACTGACAGAGAAAGACCCTCACAGCGCTCCTGGGAACTCTTCTCTGATGAATCCTTGCAAAGTGGAGAGCCAGCACACAAGACAAACACCGCTGCTACTGATGGGAGGCAGGCTTTTCTTTTATTCAGGGTCTCAGAATGAATCAGTCAGTGTCATTTTAAATAAGTCCAGTGAAAATCCTTACACTAAAGCTTTCAACACAAGTAAAGGTGCTTCTCCAGGTTCTGAGCCAGGACCACCTTAGATAGGGGTGTGCTTATCCTCCCGCAATCAAAGAACATTCTTACAGCTACAGGTTACATGAACAGGAAAATGGGTTCGTATACTACCTCGCTTGCCGACAGTGTACCTCAGAGTGCCCTATAAACCATACGTCTGCTTCAGGCTGGATTGATGTGCCCAAAGCCGGGCTCCTTGAGGCTGGGGATGTCATTCTTCCTGTAGAAGTCGGTCTGTACATGGTTCACATGGCCATAGTCTCTGTTTAGGGGCTCAATGGGCTGATTGATGCGTTTCCCATAGGCAGAGGACATCAGCACTGGCACAACCCTTTCCTGTTCCTGGGAAGATGAAATTCACAGACATCATTGCGAGGACAAAAACCTTTCTACCCACAATGCATCAGTACAGTGGTCCATGCATGCATCAGATGTCTCACCCAGGCGGCGCCTCAATGATGCTAGCAAATAGTCTCTGAACCAGACACCACTTGTGGTCCGACTTCAGGTCCTGTCCCTCCTCTTTCCTTCCCCTCCCATCTCTCAGCTCACCCCCTGCCAGCCTTTCTTCACCCCTCACATATAGGACAGTAGCCTGGAGCTTCAAGAGTTTGTTCACCCCACTCATCCTGCTTGTGTGTTCCACTGACAGACAGCTCCAATCACTCAAGTCCCCGGGTGGCACTATTAGTCTTTCCTGTCCCTTCTCCCCAGAACCTCCTCAGCCCTTTCCCTGTCGTGTGCTTTAAAGAGCTCTCTGTGCATGTTATCCATCAACGTGAAACCAGGTTGTTTCTTTGTCTTTTGTCTCTTACTCCTCTCTTTGTCCGAATGTCAGCTCTACAAGGACGGGGCTTGTTCCTTAGTCCTTCTCTGCCCCCTCCACAGGAAGAGAACAGCATCAAACAATGCATCATCAGAGCCACCTTCTTCTCGTCAGAGAACAAGAATTTCAATGCCGGTGCAGAATGCATAAACATAAGCAAATATAGAAGTCCCGTGACCCTGAAATAAGTGACACTGCGTGCCTTTATCACTTAATTCCAATTCAAGAGTGCTAAGAGTGGCAAGATGGCAGGAGCTAGCAGCCTCACTCACAAGCGAAACAAGCACTTGGCCACTGTACCAAATCTCCAGCCTCGGAGATCTTAATTACAGTCACAGGGGAAAAAAAGCCAGAAATCCCCGAAGAAGCTTTTGTGTCATAATCTCCGTGTGATGTGATGTCTAAAACTCTCTGTGTACTCAGCCCCTGACCTTTAAAAACACTGCCATTCTCAGTGTGGACTGAAGGTCAGGTCAAAAAGGCAGAAATGTCTAACATAGACCAGGATAGGTCCAATTTAGTCCAGGATAGAAAGTACCTCCAGCACCCGTCTACCTGGTGGGACCCTGACAGAGTTGCCACGACTGCCAGCCAGCTTCTTTTGAAAACACTGAGGAGGCAATGCAGAGCTGCACCCCATATGGTGGGGACTTGAGGACTAGACTTGGTAAAAATAAAGACCAGTGTCCCTAGAAAAGTTGTTGTAGCCAGGGCTCAGCAGGTAAGCAAGTAAGGAGTCCTGCCTGTTGAAAAGAGGTTCCTAATTTTACTATCCTTAAATTATCTAGTTCCCTGGAACCAATCAGAAAAATTAATGTAAAAATGGAGTCACAGAACAGAAGCATCTTAACTTCTCAGCACAATAAAATAGATGCCGGCCACATAAAGTTACATGAAGCATTGGAACACAATGTCAGATGCCGGCCACATAAAGATACATAAAGCGTTGGAACACAGTGTCAAATATTTACATGTGGTCACATATGCATGCATCAGCACACGTATATACATGCAAATATAAATATATACAAGACTGTGTTCATACATGTACATATATAAAGTACATGTATGTATGTGCTTAGATATCTGCATGTTCTCACATTTCATACAGATAAATGTGTGAAAATATGTACACAGGCACATGCACACATATATATTTACACATTCAATATATATACACATGTATGCACACGGACAAACATAATACATGTGTGTAACCAATATATATGTATGTTAATATGCACATATGTAAATATGCATTATTTGTACACATATATTCACACTGCATTGCATACATGTGCATGCATGGGCACATGCACATAGTTTAGAAGGTCTGTTAACATCATTATCATAACTTACCTCCTCGTTAAAATGAAGCCCCAGGTTCTTTGCATGTTCTCTGTCATCTCTATGCAGTTTCTGGTTATAATCTAGTCTCCTCTTAAAAACACAGTCGTAGAGGGAGACGATTCCTGTCTGGGAATAAACAGAGACAGACAGTCACAGGTGTGTTTGAAGGATGAGACACTGGTATCTAGGACAGCACTGAAACCAACCACGACTCTGCAGTGGGGACTGGAGAGTGCAGAGTTTCCCTTGTGTGAGTGGGCACTGAGGAGGGACACCTCACTTGGCAGACCCGGCTGTGTGCTGGAGCAGAAAGGAGCTCGGACCCCCACCCCCAACAAGTGTAGAGTGTATAGAGGACCACGTCTGACTGTAGATGTCCAACAGCACCTCTCTTCGGCACTCTGGTGTTCCTCCTTGAGATATTCCTCAAAGTCTGTCCCCTCCGACACTGCTGCAAGAGTTCAAACCTCAGCCGTGGCTCAAGTTACCGTGAGGAAATAGTGTGGACCAAGAAGTTCATAAATAAAATATGTTTCTCAGTTTAGAGGCTAGACATCCAAGATCAAGGCGTGGGCAGATTCAGTGCCTGCAGAGCTGCTTTCAGCTTCATACATGGCACCATCAAAAGGGAGAAAGACTACGGAGGCCCACTCGAGCTTTGGAGGCATGAAACCTCTTCAGGAGGGCACTGCCCTCCAGACCTGACCTCAGAGAATCTAATATTATAGCCTTGTTCTGCTCTGAAAACTCAGCAGTAACTAGATGCTATGACAATACACCCAGGCAGAAGTCATCCTTCAAGCTGCCGGCCAATGGTCAAATTGCTTATATGCAAACCTACCTCTTGAGAGACAAAAACATTTTTCTTAAACCCTATGTACAGCTATAGAACTTTGAAACTGATGTCCATGAGTACATGTAATGTGCCTACATATATAGCATAAGCATGCATTATACATACATAGATGTACAGACACACAGCTTAGATGTTCTGGAAAAGGACTTGTTAATATAACTATGTTCTATAGATCTCTCTTTTTCTTCCTCAACTTTTTCTTAGTCAATCTGCTTGTGTGGTACCCAGTAAAATAAGGAATCCACAGGTTAGGTGGTATTTAACTGTCATCTCATGCATCAGGCTTGGGTTTGTTGCTCTAGATGTTCTGATTCCTTCAGCGACAAAACCAGACTTGGTTTATCTTTAGGATTAGAACTGATCACCAGCTGTCTCACTTACACTGGGGTGGTTTAGCTTGGGTGTTTGTTTTTCCTAATAATGATACTAGAACTATTCCCTCTGTGGAATGGACAAAACTGAAGTGTGGAAAGAAAGGATGTACACACATGTTTAGTGGACTGGAAAACACAGGTGACCCTGTTTACAGAGTGCAGGAACTCGGTGTTTCCGGCGGTGATGGTAATGGCTAGCAATGCAGCATCCAGCAATGAGGGCATTCACAGACTGACCACCAGGTAGACTTGGGAGACAGCTCACACCTGGTCGTGCCTGATGTGTCTACCATCCAGTGAAGGAGACAACGTGGTTTTTAAGAATCGAAGTTTCAAGATTTGTAAAAGTTCAAAAAGTTCATCACCCAGGAGGGAACTTGCCCCCACTGACATAATCTTAGTTTCACTAAATTCATCCATTCCTGGACTGCCCCTGGAGGCGGTGCTTCTCTCTCTGCATCACTGCTGTCATTAGCGTGTTTGCACCACCTGCCCTGGCTGTTGTGTTTGCTGCTCAGAAAACACATGATCGAGACAAGGGTGTGAAAAACACTAACTCCGCAGAGAATTGATTAAATTCAGCATTCTGGGCTGTAAAATTGGCTAGTTCCTTGTATCTTCACATCACACCGTAGACAAAAGTAAATTCTAGAGGAACGAGGAAAATAAGAGAAAAAGAAAGCCATGAGGGACCTCCCACACGTAAAAGCAATAAGGAAAATGTCACAAAGAAAACATCAATCACTTTGACTCTATAAAAGTAGGCATTTGCTTATCAAATAAATCTAAGTTTCTTTAAAAAACCCATCTTAAGACATGACAAAGAAATCTCATTCTTGAACATTCAGTGCAGATCTGTTGCTGCAGAAGCTGGTGGGCTGCCAGCCCTCGCAGGCAAAGCAATGCTTTCTGGGAGAAACAGAGAGGGCCCTTCAGTAGTACAGAGGAAGTTCAAACACCCACACTGCAGGAATGGTGGGTCCATCCCTCTTCAAGGGAAGATATAAAGACCCAGGCCTTTTGAGGCATAAAGCTATTGGCTGAGCTGAAGACAGGCCCACAGCAAGACAGCACTAACCTGAAAGCCCACTGTATTAGGTTTGTGTGTACTTCTGTGTGAGTGAATGAATCCATGTATGGAAAGGCAGAGGTGAACCGGGCTGTCTGTAGGCCAGTAGAGGGCGTTGGATCTCATGCAGATGGAGTGATGGACACATGGAGGCACCTGTGAGCCACCTGATGTGGGTGGTGGACACTGAATTCAGGTCCCTTGGAAGAGCGGCAAGCACTTTTGACTGCTGAGTCCTCTCTCCTGGTGACTTAAGCAATCCGATGGTAGTTAGGCTGGTCTCAGTTTTCTGTTGCCCGTCTGGAAGTCCTCCTGCCCTGGCTATGGCTGTGCTGTCAGCCACAGCCGAGCACGAAGGATGAACCCTTGTGATCAGGTCATTCTCTTCTGTCCGCTGAGGACCACATGCAAAAGTAGACGCTGATGGTGTTCCCCATTCAGCGCCTAACAGTGCTCCCCCTGGGTGTCTGGCCTGCTCAGGTAAGGGGAGCCACACAGGAAGAGGGGGAGCACCAACAGTAAGGAAACAAACCGCCAGGATCTGCCTGTGCTGTGCTTCTTATTTCGTGCTTTCAGCCAGACCAAACCTCCTGAGTGGAGTGGGTGCTGCCCGAGGAAAAGACCCAACGACGGAACAGATTCAAGAAAGGGAGAGCGTGTAACCACTGTTACAAATGCTCTACATCACAGAAACCTATTGCAATATGCAACTTCCCAGGGGGAAAAAAAAGGAAAAAAGTCTATTGCTTTTCATTTTAATGAGGTCTCCCAAAACTCTGTGAATAGAAACAGCTAAGAGTCGGTGCTGCCTCCCAATTCCAGGATGTTGTGAGCACCTAGGCCAACTTGATCTGGATCAGGAAGTTCACTGCTTCTGGGCACAGGCTGATGAGAACCCAAGCTCTCCCAACCCCATCCTACCCGCCTACCCCACCCGACCCCTGACGCATGTGTGCTGCGTATTCGGAATGTTCCAGAGAAAAAAATGATGACTTTTTCTACTGCTGAAGACTAAGACTAAAAGGAAAGAAATTACTAGCAGACAGGCAGCCTCACAGAGCAAAACACCATCCGTCTCCGCTGTCTGAGTGAAGCGTGTCTCCCGTTACAGAGCTTTCATCTTCTGGTCTTCCTTTGTGGCTTGAAGCAAGATGATTTTAATAAAAATCTGAGATTCTATCACAACACAGACTTGGTGCTGCACAATTAAAATCTCTCAGATTTGCCCGTCTCTCCCTGGAATTTAACTTTTAAAAAACAAAAACCAAACAAACAAACAAAACAAAAGAACAAAAAAAAAAGCAGAGCAAAACAGAAAATATTAGCTTGTGACCTCTGCCTTTGTCTGCTTGCATTTTGAGCATTACTTAAACGTGGTACCGCTGTGTGCTACATGTGCCTTCAGTTTACCTCCTGTGCTCCCAACTCCTGATTCTGAATAGTCTCCAACCAGTAGAGTGTGTGGATGCCATCTGCGCAATGGTGCCTGTGTCTGTTCATTCTACAGTTTGGGAATTAATTCAGCCGTGGAGATTTGATATCCATTGTTAGGTATTAAGAGGGCTGGACTTGATCTGAATATATTGCAAGAGGTGGTGCCTTCCAAGATGGTTGACTTTAGGTGGGGTTATCAGGGCAGTCTGGGTGCTCTATACTGAGTGAGACAGAGGCCAAAGAAACACAAGTGTGTACAGTCCCAGCCTCTCAGGGAGCCATGCACTACTTCAGGAAGCACACGTGTGCACACTTCAGGCCTCTCGGTGTGTCCTGGCTGCCAGCAGGGAGCACATGTGTGCACACTCCAGGCCTCTCGGTGTGTCCTGGCTGCCAGCAGGGAGCACATGTGTGCACACTCCAGGCCTCTTGGTGTGCTCTGACATTCAGCCAGTGAAACCATTAGTACCTGTGGTTTCTGGAAAGCCTAGAACTATGACCTAAATAAACATTTTCTTTACAAGACACACAGCCTTGGGTATTTCTTTGTAGTGATGGAAAATGAGCTAAAAATAACTGTAAGAGGCCATTTTAGGCTCCAGGATAGAAATGGAGAGAACCTTACTTTAAGTGAGACCACGGTCTGAGCATGGGAAAAACACACACGCTAAAATATGTAAAATATAATGACATGCCAAAATAACAAAAATAAAAATGGCAGAGCATGGAAACGTACAGTGACTTAAAAGAAGGTATGCTAAGCTCTTGTTTGCACTGAGCTTGTGGATGTGCTAAGATCTTATTTGCTCTGAGTTTGTGGAGATACCTTGGAATCTCCGACAATCACACAGCTAGCTGCTACAGCTAAAACTCTGCAGAGCAATCTCTCAGGTGCCGTGGGTTGGGTGTTGTCCTCCAGAAGCCCTCACGTGGAAGTCTTATACCAGAGAATACAGAACGCCGTCCTGACCGGAAGCAGGGTTGCTGAAGATGTACTTAGTTAAGGTGACATCATACCAGCGTAAGACGACACTATGCACTGTGGCTGGTGTTCTTACAGAGCAGGAATCTGAAGCATAGAGACATAGATCAGGAAAGACGGTCTGGACAGGACAGGAAGATGACTATCAAGAGACGCAGAGGCTGAGCCTACGAAAGGACCAAACTTCCACTCTCCAGGACTCTGAAAGGTGAGTTCCCATTGCTCTTGGCCACCAAGTCTGGGCCACTTTGTGCTGTACTGATGCCCAACACATTCTGTAAAAGCAGCATTTGGAACAACTGGGAAGCCAAAACGGGGTTAAATCAAGGCTACTGCAGCAGGGCCAGAAGGCTAAGGTGCACACTCCTCTGGTAAACTGAGTTTGCTGACCACCTGAGTGGACAGCATCAC